ATAGCCGGACGAGTCAGCGGAGGCGGCCCGCTTGCAGGGCGGAGAGTCGGGCGACGGCGAGCGCGACTGACGCGAGGGCCCGCTGCCGCGCGCGGACAGCGCGTTCTTGTCAACGAGACGGGGTCCAGCATCGGCACGGCCCCTGGCACCGCGGCCCTTGCCGCGCTGCTGCTGCCCACGCTTCCTGCCCGGGTTAGGGACAGTGAAGGAGCAGCCGCGCACTCCGCCGCCGCTGGGCGGCGGCGGCACGCGCGCGGCGGCGGCCGGGCCCGCAGGCGCGGCGGGCTGGCCACCCGCGGTGGCACCCTGCGGCTGCGATGCGGCTGCGGCGGCGTACGTCTTGGGCGCCGGCTCCGCGGCTGGCGGCGCGGCGGCAGGGGCGGGCGGCGCCGCAGGGCTCGTGCTCGCAGGCGGCTCCGTGGCCTGCGCCTGCCGCTCGTTGCGCACAGCGCGCTCGAGCTGCGAGTGCGGGTGCAGCTGTACGATGACGTCGCCGCTCTGCGTCGCGGTGAAGGAGACCGAGTACGGCGCTTCGCCGTCGTTCTTCTTCTCCGCGTAGACGAGCGCGTAGTCGCACACCTGTCGTTGGTGGTCAGTGAAGATGGTCTCTGTGCAGCGCTCGGCGGAGCCGACGCGAGAGAAGTGCCGCCTGAACGCCATGCGTTCAGGCGCTGTTTGAATCCGGTCGTGCGACTCTCTTGCCACCTCGCGGTCGTCCCACTCTCGTCGTTCTCTCCCTTGTCACTTCCTCCTCTGTCGCGTCGCTTCTCCTCTGCCTCGTCCTGCGCCGCCGCCGCCTGCCGTTCCCTTGTTCTCGCGGCTTCTCCCGCCTTTCGGCGCACTCTGCCCTCCTCGCTGCATATCCTGGCCCCTCGAGTCTATCGAGCTCTCCTCGCGCGAGCACTCGGAGGGAGGTGGTAAGCGGATATCTGAGGAGATCGGCTTTTCATGCCACCGGTCAAGACGCAGATGAAGAGATCGCGCCGCGCCGCCGCGCCGCCCTCTGGCTCATGGGCGACTGCCGTCGACGAGCCACCCATGGCGGAGCCTTCCGCACCGGTCGTCACGGCTGACGTCGAGGGCGAAGCCGGCAACGTCACTGCCGCTGTCGTTTCCATCGACGTTGGAGCGCTTCTCAACCGTGGAGGCGAGCTTGCTCAGGCCGGCCTGTGGCTGCAGTCGTTGCGCGCCTTCGACTCGGCGGCCCAGGCGGAGCCCGGAAACGCGAAAGCGCACGAGCAGCGCGCACAGGTGCTCCTTCAGATTGGGCGGCCCCTGGAGGCAGTGCAGGCTGCGGGAACGGCGTGCACACTGCGACCCGAGTGGGGAGACGGCCGCCGCACGCTTGCGCGCGCGCAGCTTGATCATGGAGAGGTGGCGCTCGCGCTGAGCAGCTTTGACGCCGCGCTCGGGCTCCTTCTCG